CTTCTCTACTGAATAATTCCCATATGCCCTCAAAATATGCCCTCCTATTTATTACCCATTCAATAATAACAAAGCAATCAAGTCAACAAATTTTCTCTTGATCATCCATCACCTCTAGTTTCAGACCCATTTCTTTGCTCCCCTTTGTAGCAAAACTCTTTGAAAGAGTGGTTGATAGTCCCTATTTCCTCAACTAACTCTCCTTCTCTCTCTCTCTCTCTCAGCTCACTCTGATGTAACTTCCTCCTACACTACTTCAGGGCCACCAATGACCTCCATTTCCCCAGGAAGAGTTCATTCTCTGTTCTCCTTTTAGTTGACCTTGTAACAGAATTTGGCCCGCTTGACCCATTCCTGTTTCTGCTAGCACCTCCTTCTCTAGCCTTCTATATATCATGCTCCTGTGGGTTTCCCCCCCACCATATCGTTAGCCACTTGTTTCTTCTTGTGCATCTGCTGTTCCTCTTCTCCTAGCCATAGTTAGACTTCCTGGCTTCCATTCTCTGTTTATACTTACTCTACAAGGCAACATACTTAGTCCCTTGGTTTTCAATGCCATCTGTATATGCTGAGAGGTCTCTAATTTGTCTTTCAATGCTTGGTGCTACCTTATATATTCAAAAGTCTGTTTGCCATATCCTCCTTGGCTCTCAATCATACATTTCAAATGTAACATGGATAAAGCAGAACTAACAATTGCTCTAGCATCACTCTCCACCTTGCATCTTTTCCATTTCAGTGAATGGCATCACTCTCCACCCTGTTGCTCCACCAAAAACATGAAGCATTATCTGTGACCCTTTTCCTTTCCTCACACATCCCATCCATCAGAAAGTCCTGTTTCTTTAGTTCCTTCATGTCTTACAAATCAGCATTGTTCCAAACCTAATCCAAGCATCATGACCTTTTCCTTGATTTATGGTAAGCACCTGCTGAAAGAGATTGCCAGACTTCACTTTTGCCCTATTTTTACTTCATCTACCGCACAAGAACCAGTGCGCTCTTTCCAATGTAGAAAGAGCATCACATTACTTCCTACCTAAAACCCTTCAGGGATTTCCTGCTGTGACCACACTCCTCACCATGACCTCCCACGCTCACCATGCTTTGACCTTCATCTATTCCTTGGCACTCATCTTGTTCCCCCTCTCCATGTTTACTATGCCTCCACCATAGGGGCCTTCCTTCTCCCTGTATAATTAGACAGAGCCTCTGTCCTGGCCATTTCTTCTGTTTGGAGCAGTTCTTCTGTTCCCCTGGATGTCTCTGATCCTTATTTAAGTCTCAACTCCAAAGTTACCTTCCCTGAGAGACCTTCCCCAATGGTACTAGCTAAGGCACTTCTCTTCCTCCCTCGTTACCCTAGTATCTTATTTTATCCTTTTCATAGCATCTATTGGAGCCTGAAACGATCTCCTTTATGAATTTGTTTCCATTTAATTGTTTGTCTTCTGTTCCTTGATGGTACAGACTGTGTCTTTCTTGTTCACTGTTGCATCTCCAGAACTTGGCACAAATAAGTGACCAACCAATATCTATGTCAACCAACTAACTGAATTGGATTTATTTTCAAAATGCATTCAGATTTAATGACTTGGCAGCCCCTTTAGAATGGAGGACAGATACTGCAGAATGCCAAAAGACCAAAGATAGTAAAACCTAACATGCCAGAAATAGTTTACTATCAAGACGAAAATGAAAGACACTAGAATGATTTTTTTTTGTTTGTTTATGTCATTCCAAAATTCTCCCCAGAAAAGCAAACTTTAAGGTTCTCGGTTTTCCTACTGTGAAAGTTAACAGGGAAGAATAAGGGCAAACTTATTTCCAGTTGTGTACTAAATCTTCCTGCTATTCCAAAGGTTTTTACACTCTGGTGTTAGCTCAGATGCAGAGCATATTTCTCAGATGGTCCTGTTTTTATGGATGGTTCAGTGCTGTGGATGTATATTGAACACTTATGCAAGTTCTATACATATATCTGTGTTTATCATGAGTAACTACATTAACTTATTTTATGATCAGAGCACTGAGAATTTGAAAAACTGTTCCAAGGCACCATGTGTCTGGGAGATCCACCTGTATTCCTCATTAAAGCAAAATTTATTTATTTACTTGAAAGGCAGAGTGACAGAGAGAGAATCACACACACACACACATACACAGATCTTCCATCCACTGGTTCACTCTCCAAATGCCAGAAACTGTCAGGGCTGGGCCCGGCTAAAGCTGGAGCAAGGAATTCCATTATGGTTTCCCACATGGGTAGCAGGGGCCCAAACACTTGGGCTGTAATCGGCACCTTCCCAGTCATATTAGCAGGAAGCTAGACAAGAGCAGAACAGCTGGGACCCGAAGGTGTCACAAGCAGACTCCTGACTCACTGCACAGCAGTGCCCACCTGCCCCACTCCCAAGCTGTGCCCCTCATTTGCTTTGTACTTGGCATTAACAGAACCTTAGATTTATAGGGCTTTGCTCTTTTCTATCTATGAGAAGAAAACTTATGGGAGGATAGGATGCTTTTCTTCACTGGAATTATTTTATGATAAAATATAAGCCATTGCAGCATTGTAGAAGGAGTTCTGAACTGGAAATCAGTCCGTGAACACCTACGTTTGACACATTTGTTTTACACCTATTGTGTACCAAATCCTTAAGGTATTAGATGCTGTGATTCAGTAAATTGAAGTGATTTTCCTTGTTATTTAGAGCTGGAATCAATTCACCAGATCAAGGAAGAGCATAGTATAAAAGAGCACTGAATTCATATCAGAAATCCCTGCCTTGTCCTTTCTTGCCTGTGTATAACGTTGGACAGTCACTTAATCCTTCCTGAACTTGGTCTGATGAAGCAATTTGATGATAGAAGTGAGTAATGGGGATGGGGTGGGCAGGCATTGTCTTGGGAACGCAGGAAAGTAGACATCAGGCTTCTGGCAGAACAGGAACTGAAAGGTGGTTCTGACCCCAGTGCAACTCCACGCTGGCTCCTCTGCTTCTCCCTGGCTTATTGACTTCTTCCCTCTCTGTCAACCCCATAGCTTCCTTTACCTCAGCAGGATTCAGATTCTGTGGTTTGAAAAATGATTTCTCCCGCTAGGGGAAAAGTGGTCTGAACCCATGTCATCCTGTTGCATCATTTCTGCTTGCTCATAGCTCTGGCCCCTCCTAACTACCACCAGCACCCCTCTCTAGCCACATCGGGAGTGGCAGGGAAACGGGTGAAGCAGGCCAGAAACAAGAGAAGGAGGGAGTGGCTGGGATTGTGGCAAGCTGGAAACTGCGTGTGTACTCTCTAAAAGGGAGAAAAGCACTAAAGAGGCAGCCAACTTGGCCCTACCAGCCTGTAGGAAAAATTAGGCCAACTCTTCCAGATTTTTCAAGGCAAGTTGAAAATCCATATTGTTTTACATGTCTTCTTAGTTTTTAAAAGATTTGTTTGTTTATTTGAAAGTCAGAGCCACAGAGAGAGAGGGAGAGGTCTTCCATCCTCTGGTTCACTCCTCTGGTGGCTGCAATGGCCTGGGCTGGGCCAGACTGAAGCTAGGAGCTTGGAGTTTCTCCCAGGTCTCCCACATGGGTGGCAGAGCTCAAGTACTTGTGCTGTCTCCCCCTCCTTTCCCAGGCCATTAGCAGGGAGCTGGATTGGAAGTGGAGCAGCTGGGACTTGAATCGGTGTCCATATGGGATGCTAGGGTCATAGGTGGCAGCTTTACTTGCTATGACACAACACAAGTCCTGTTTTCTTATTTTTAAATTTTGACAAGTAATTCAGAAAAATGTTGACACTGTGGCATTATAACAGTGTATATCCAACTGGACCATAGGCATTCTGCAGCTTCTAGAATCCAGAGTTCAAAGTCAGAGCAAAAGTCATTTTAGCTTCTATTCTGCATACTCGTGTGTGTGTGTGTGTGTGAGTGTGTGAGTACACGTGTGGGCGTGTTCACATTCTTGAAATGGAATCTGCCCCAAAGCACCTTTGCGGCCAGTGTCCCAGGACAAATATATAAATTGGCTTCACCTGGGTCAGGTGCCTATTCTTATCCCTGAAACGGCTGCCCAACGGCTATGCTGTCAGTAGGGGCTAGATTGGGCCAATCTCCATTTCAGAGGCAGTGCGCCTGGAAGTTTTATGGTAGACACTTAGAGTTTCCTCCTGCATAAGGCAATGTTTCACTAGAATGATTTGTTCTGATTTCTCCTTACAAAATTCTGTTTCTTAGTAAGAAAAGGCAATGTTCATTCCATTAGCAGAATTCTGGTTAAAATTCGTTTAGTGTTAAGTATAATACATTCTGTTTTTTTAATACATGCTATTAATATGTACATGAAAATATTGGCTACCACTCTTTTTAAGAACAGTTTGTGGCCGGCGGCGCGGCTCAATAGGCTAATTCTCCACCTGCGGCGCCGGCACACCGGGTTCTAGTCCTAGTCGGGGCGCCGGATTCTGTCCTGGTTGCCCCTCTTCCAGGCCAGCTCTCTGCTGTGGCCAGGGAGTGCAGTGGAGGATGGCCCAAGTCCTTGGGCCCTGCACCCACATGGGAGACCAGGAGAAGCACCTGGCTCCTGGCTTTGGATCAGCCATCAGTGTGGTGCACTGGCTGCAGCGCAGTGGCCATTGGAGGGTGAACCAACAGCAAAGGAAGACCTTTCTGTCTGTCTCTCTCTCTCACTGTCCACTCTGCCTGTCAAAAAAAATAAAAATAAAAAAAGAAAAAAAGAAAAAAGAACAGTTTGCTTATAAAATGAGCAACTCTCAGGGTTAGAAAAGACTGTCACCTCTTTAAACTCCCTTCTAGTCCTTGAATATCTTCTAGGGCATCCCCAGCAAGCTGGGATGCTCATCCTCCCACAGTGTGAATACCTCACTTTACCCCCAGGAGCCCACTTCTTCTGGAGGGAACACTTCCATCCTTGGACAGGCCTGAAGATTAATTTTTTTTCTTACTGCAAACAATACTCTGTCCCCCCATAGGCAGTCAGTGCCACCTCTGCTAAATGAATTCATTTGTGTTTTACTTAGTGGGTACATACTATGTGTCTGACACTGTTTTAGGAACTTGGGTAACATCAGTGAACAAAACAAATGATTGTGCATTTGTAGGGATGATGTTCTAGCCTGGATGTAGGAGGAAGAAAGAGAGAGAGAGAGAGAGAGAGAGAGAGAGAGAATTTTTAAAAAATCAATCATGTACTATGTACCAAGGTGATAGACATTATAGGAAAAAAATATAGTTGAATGAGGGGTTGAAGGAGGACAGAATTGCGATTTTAAATAGAATAAGGTAGGCCTCATAGCACACAGATTGGAAGATGAGAGGTTAGACTAAATGCTCCCAAATCCATCTCTCTACAGCTCTGTAGTACTGGCTCCTTTTTCATGTCCCAGGCCTAAGGATGGTAATAGCTGGGCATCTTTGGAATCTCAGCAGGGAATCTAGACGCTTTCTCTTTTTGAATTCATTAAATCCTCATAGCAGCTCTGAGAGCCGCTTGTACCCCCATCCGCACAGGCGTAAATGACGCTCAGTGAAGCTAAGTAACCTGGCCAGTGCTGCATTCTAGGAAGAGGAAGAGGTTGTCTCCGGCTCCTGGCTTTGGTCTTTAAGCTCTGGAGCAGATGCTTTGGAGACCTCAAGCTTTTCTTCCCCAGGCCCGTGGCCTGTCCCTTTCCTGGTCTGTGATTCCTGGGACGACATTTAAAGGCCTTTCCTCTCCTGGGGTTTCTGTTGGGAATCCTTTCCTTTTATCTAATGGCAGGGGACAAGTGAGACACCCGTGGTGCCATCAACCCCACCTCAGCAACAACATAAGTTTTGTAAGGTCATGGTTATGCTTTGTTTTGACACATACTTGGTACTTTCAAAAGTTCGTGGAAAGTAGAATTAAAAGATATGTATATTTTAGTGCAAAAAAGGATAAAATCCATCCATAGTTTTTTCATAATACTCATTTCCACAAATTTTTTGAAGATCCCTCGTATGTATGGATTTTCATTTACCATTTAATTCCACTTTCCACATACTTTTCAAGTGCCTTGTACATATTTTTCTTCAACAAATGTCACTGTGGTTTCCAAGCCTATGTGTGATATGTGATCGGGCAGCCTTTTAAAATGATTTCCTGCTCAGCCATAGGGTGAAATTATGCAAGCCAGCGAGTCTTGCAAACAGCTGCATCAAATTCTCAACACCTGCCAAAAAAAAAAAAAGTTTTGAAAATACTTTTACATTGTTTTTCATGTTTGGATTGGTTGGTTTTTTGTGGTTTCAAACTTTGAAGGACCCTCCAATTCATTAAAGCTGCAGTCCGAAACAGAAGTTGGGCACTTCAAAGAATTTTGCAAATCTGAGGCAGACATAGAGTTCACTTGAATTACATTTCTATGAACACACTTAAAACACCTTCTGGAATTGGTCTGGGGATTGTTTCTTACCAGAAAAAAAGCACACGACCAAGAAACAAACTCCCGGCTCTAGACCTTTACTCTGCCCGGCCCAGCTCCTTTACAGAGATGCAGAATCAGCTCTTGGCTTCTTGGCAGAGTTTCCCATCTTGGGGGTCAGATCTCCTCTCTGGTGAGACAAACGCAGCACCAAGCTCTCTTGACCTGCTGCATCCTCCCCGACTTTTTAAGTCAAAGAGCTAGGATTTCCTCAAATTGTTGCCCTCGATGTTAAGTGCAGAGGCCCTCTCCCCCTCGCCCCAGCTGCAGGGGCGGAGGAGAATGGGATGAAAGATGGTGAGGACCCTTGGGGAGAAACTACAGCTAAGTGCACGGGACAGGAAAGGCGGGAGGGGGCGGGGAGGAGGCCGCGAGTCGAGAGAGAGAGGAGGGAAACGTGTCACCAGCCGGCCTCTAGGAGCTCCGCGCCCGTCGCGTCTGCAGGCTCTCGCCGGAAAGGCACTGAGGCTGGACCGGACCCCGTGGCAGGCAGAGCTGGGAGAAGGGGGCGGGGGAGAGCGCAGTGGCCACAGCCCCTCCTGGAGGTCGCTCGTTTCTCTGTGGTCAGAAAACTTTCTCAGTAAGACTGGAAACTTTTTCCCGGGCGCGCGGAGTGTGGGACGGAGGCGAGCGCCCGGTGTGCATGCCACGGGGTGACTCACGCCGGAGACCCCACCGGGGTGAGTGGGGGAATCCCCGGGAGGGCCCGAACTCACGGGACTGAGAAACAAATCGCTCCGAACTATCTGGAGAGCACGGGGGTTGTTGGCGGTGGTGGCTGCGGAAAGCGTCCTATCAGGGGGTGGGGGAGGCAGCTTGGTGGGGATCCCGCATCCTGGTTAAGGATCGGACTCTGCAGGCTGGCGAGCGGGACCACGGTGTGGGCTGGCTGCGGGACTGGTCGCGCGCTCAGTGGGCGGTTCACGGTGGGCGAGCGATCCGTGTGGGTGGGGAGGAGGATGCTGCAGATCATATTTGCTTTTTGTTTTTCTCCTCTCTGGGCAAGAGTGGCATCCTGAAACAGCCTTTTCCTGGCTGTTTCGTAGTTTGTGAACGGAGGTGTGGGAGAGGAGAAGAGAGGAAGCCGCTTGGTCCCGTGCGCCGCTGGACGCGCACGCTCCGCAGGCTAGGGAGGGCCAGGGCGCAGCTCGAGGAGACCCCCGCAGGGACAGGTCACGAGGAAACCCTCAGACATCTCTCATGGGCGTCCACGAGATCGCCTTTCCACTTTATCTTTCGCGGCCGCGTTAGCTTGGAGAGGCTTCCTCTGCGCGCCTACTGTGCGCGGCAGGCTCATCACGCGCAGGGGGCGCTCTGGAGCCCCACGTGGGCGGCTCGGACCATTCCTTGCAGCTCTCCTCCACCCCCCTCCGATCCTTTCTCTAGGGGCTGCTGCCGGCGGTGCGCGCCAAGCTGTTTGCCTAGTGAATCGTGCTTCAGGAATAGCCCGGGGGGTGCCTCCCTGGTTGGCGAGACGGGTTTCCCCAGGCTGTGCCCACCCCCAGTCCTCGATCGCAAGCCGCCACAGCCTCTTCCCCGTGGTGCCGGGAGACGGCGCTTTGTTTGTCAGCAGAAAGGCGGCGAGTATTTATAGACGCCACTGCGAGCCTGCGGTGTGCAAGGTTTCAATTACAGTCCTGCGATGCGCCCCACAGGACGGAAAGCTAAGGCTCAGCAGCTCAGCTGCACACCAGTCTGCTCCGGGAACCCGCATGCGAAAAGCTCTGGCTGGAGTCTCCGGACATCTCTGCCTGGGCGGGCTTGATGTGTTGCCCAGAGGATATGGGCAAATTCAGACAACCCAAGCTAAGGACCAAGTCAGGGCCCCCTGCGGATTGACTCTATCCTGCCCCGGCTCCCACCAGGACGCTTGCTGAGCAAGCCTCGGAGGTTGCAGTTTTTTGACCTCCTTTTGGTGGTCCTGACCTCCGCGGGGTCGCAGCGATGACATTTTATTGCCCTGCATAGGGCTAAATGTCATAGCGCTGAGCTGCGGTAAATGGCTCTTTGGGTGCAAGGCGCTGCTACTGAGAGCACGAAGCAGCTGGCGAGTCAGGAAGGGGAACGGAGCTTGCAGAAACTCTTTGAGTAGCATTTGAAATTTAGCGCCTGGTGGGGAGGGAGGAAGATTGCCATGCTGCTCTGTGCCGACCTTGGCTGGTCTGCTCCGGGTGCAGCGCAGAGCCCTGGAATCCAGTCAAGGAAGCAGTTCCGAGCTGCTTCTGTGGAAGCAGGGTTGGCAGAAGAAGGAAGCCAGGCTTGGTCAATCCACAAAGTTGTCTTGTTTTTCATCACCAGCCATTGTTCTTTCAGTGTTTTATTGATGCTTCTAACAGCTGGAACCTTTAGGGTATAAATTAAGAAAACCAGATTGGCTTATCTCTCCCAGCTTCATTTAGACTGGCTTGTTTCTCACCAGTGGGAACTCATTTTGTTCTGGTGCAGAAGGGCTGGCTGTGGGCAGGTATTTGTTTCCGTGGGTGCGATTTCAGTAATGTGTGTTAAAAAAAAAAAAAAAGAGGGGAGGGAGAAGTGCAAACCCCTCTTGAGGTCCTGTGATGTTTTAAACTCTGCCTTTAGAGACTTGGATAGCATTATATGCGGAATCCTAACACTGATGCAGGTGCCATGATGTCCTCATCATTCAGGTGACACCAGTGAGGCTTAGAGAATTCTCATTCTTCTGTCTAAGGCTACGCACATCCAGGGATTCAGCTGAGAATGGATTCCAGATTTGTTCCTCGGCTCTCCTCAATTGTTGATTTAATTAGTGATTAAATTGGTGGCCTCCTTTTTATGTCAGGAAATGTGAATCAATGATTGAAAAAAATTTAATCTTGTCTTTCAAACACTGTTACACTGACTATCTGAAAATCTGCTGGTAGTCCACACTTCAGCTTGCCCATTTACTTGATGTATGTTCAACATTAAAGCCATTTATTTGGAGAAGACGAAACTCAGTAAGCACTTTGTGGATTCTCCCCACCCTTTTTTTCCCTCCTTCAGATCTTTGTATCCTAATGATTTGTAGGAGTGCATGTGTCTATTTGCCTGTGGTCATTTCTTTTCTACTGCCCTTAACGAAGTAAAATATGTGGAAATCTTTCTTGAATATCTTTTTCCTTCTAATCCTTTTTGCAGAACTACACCAATGCAGGATTGATCTAAAAAATGGCCCCTAAGTCTATCCAAAAGATTCCTAAGGTATCTGTCATGGAGTTGCCTGACTGTGTACAAAGTGTAAATACATGCTAAGTTTAGACAATACCACAGAAATGGTTATTTGTTATCAAGTTAGTGTGAATGAATAGTTCAGTTGCTGAAATTCGGAAGTAAAATATTTTGTGGATTTTGTACAGGACTTGGGGTTGGGGATTTGGCAATACAGAGCATTATACCCTGATTAGTAGAAAGTGCTGTTTTATAGGGAAAGCAAGAAGGAGGCTAGGGGTGTAGAAGATGCTTAGCAATGAGAGGGCATCAGAGGTGAACTTGATTTAATTCACATTTTTGGCAGAGCCTGTGGATCCTAGCTTTACTCTGAAACTTGCACAGCTGGAACAAATGAGCCAACTTATTTACTTATTATTGGACAACTGCTGAGAGCCAGGTATAGCTATGGTGATGGTACTCGAGCCTCTCAGCAATCTGGGAAGGAAGATATTATTTCTGTATTTTAAAATGAGAAAACAGAGGATCAGAGAGGTTTGTCCTTTCCCAGTGTCACACAGTCATAAACTTACATCCTTGGTTCTTTCCTGTACATTTTTTCAAAGCTTTTTTTTTTTTTCTTAAAGATTTATTTATTTGAAAGGCAGAGAAACAGAGGGAGAGAGAAAGAGAACAAGAACTCTTCCAACTACTGGTGCACTGCTCAAATGCCTGCAACAGCTAGAGCTGGGAAGCCAGGAGCCAGGAATTTCCTCCAGGCCTCCCATGTGGGTGGCAGGGACACAAGTACTAGGGGCATTATCTGCTACCTTCCCAGGCACATCAGCAGGAAGATGGATTGGAATTGGAGAGGGTGGGACTGACTCAGTGCCCTGATACAGGATGCTAGGAGCTTAACTTTCTGTGTCACGATGTCTACCCTTCCCTGGACATTTTGATGTCTACTTTTGAAGGCCTTCTATGAAGAACCCAAGGTCCCAAGTTCTCTGGAAGGTCCTAACAGCTCCTATGGAAGTTTCTGGATCAGAAGTCAATGCCAGAGCATGCAGGGACTCTAGAATGAAGAGACAGGAGATGGATGAACAATGGAGACTGGAGGGACAGTCTGGCTAGTTCTGATAGTAGTTCCTCCCAGGAAGAAGACAGTCCAGACCTGGGTGTATTGTGAATGTAGAGAATGGGTAGCTCTGGCTTGGGAGGGGAAACCTGTCATGTCAAAGGCTTCCCAGAGGGGAAAAGGAGGGAAGTCAGTAGCTCCCCTCCCTCAGGGGGCCTTCTCTGGTTTACAATCAATATAAATTAGGGAGTCTGTGAGACCTGTTCCCATTTTAATTGGACTTGGCCCTTTGAGGCAGCAGTCACCCAATCTCTGTCTCTTTAAATATTCTTTTCTTATGCTTTGCCAATTTATGGCCTTTGTAGATCAACCTTGGATTTCATTTAGGGGAGGGAGAGAGGAAAAAAGTAAAGGTTAGTGATTACCTAAATTGGATTAAGTTCTGTCTAGCAGCGTTTAAAGAAATACTGCTTGCTCTCTAATTACCATCAAGTAGGAATTTAAACGGTCTATTAAATTTAAGCTGGCTTTTTTTTTTTTTTTTTAAACTGGCTATGTTTCCAGCTGTAACGTATTCTGGGATTTTAGAGGCTTTTATGTATTTTTCAAATGTGTAGAGAACACTCTTTGCCTTCCCTCCCATCCTTTGTAAAGTATTACATTTCTGTAGTAGGATAATAAATGACACTATTATGTCCTGGCTTCATTAAAAAGCAGAGACTCACAGCCGGGGTCAGCTGGCCCTGTCAGCCTCAGGAGAGCTACCCAGTGAAGTGAGTAAACCCAGAAGGGATTTGGAGAATGGTGGGACTCACCCAATCCCTCTCTTTCTTCCTCTTTTGACTAAGGCCTATGGGAAGATCTGGTAAAAGTCCACTCCTCCCACTGTCCAAACAACCTATCTTAACGCTTTGTACCATATACATTGCGTATGATTCTGTACTACATGAAACTCCATATTTGCTCCTGTATTCGGTCTCCTCCCCTCTTCTCAGTTGTGAGATGTCGGTGCAGTTTCTCTCTTGCATACTTCAGTGTTTAAGTTTCACTTTTTTGGGTGCCAGAGGTGAGCTACTCCTCCCGTTTCTTGCTTCTCTCCTTACTTTAACTTGGGCACAGAACCTCCTCCAGCTTTGCTGGTTCCTTTTGACAGACCACGTCCTGGGTTTTGTTGAAGCCATCTCTGACAGCAGTTGCGTTTCCAGCAAGGAGAAGGCTTCAGGGACCACGTTGGCCTCCTGTGGCTGGTTCAGAACAGGGGAGTGTGGCAGCCTCAGGAGAGCCTGGGAGAAGACTGGGAGAATTCTTTATTTTTTTTTTTTTAAATCTTCTTCCCAAGGACAATGGTGCAGAAGTTGGCTGCGATGTGTGTCTGTAATGGTCTGAAATGAGCCACCTCAAGCCCTGTCACAACCTGCTTGTGACCCCGGCAGGGTAAATCTCTGCACAAAC